TTCTTTCTTTCTTTCTTTCTTTCTTTCTTTCTTTCTTTCTTTCTTTCTTTCTTTCTTTCTTTCTTTCTTTCTCTCTCTCTCTCTTTCCTCCCTCCCTCTCTCCCTCCCTCCCTTCCTTCCTTCCTTCTTTCCTTCTTTCTCACTACATTTCCAGGCTGCTCTTTAATCCTTGGGCTTAAATGATCCTCCAGCTTCAGATGTCTGAGTAAAAGGGACTGTAGACTTGCTCCACAGTAATCTGCTATAAAAGGAAGCATTTTGTAACTCAGAGAGGAAGGCTAACTTTATAGAGATTAAAGTCTTTAAAATGCTTGCCCAGAAATGATGTGTCTCTAGCCTTGAGTGGTAAGCAGGAATACTCTGGGTCCCTGAGTGGGCAAGAGGCTGATGGTCCTCATGACTGGCAAAGTTCGGAGGGGTGGTGGCAATCAAAAAGGACCTGTGAGGGCCCATGAGTTTGTCTGCACTCTGAAGCCTCAGGTACAGAAGCATGAGCTAGGCTTGCCCGATACACTGCCCTCTCATGGGACAGATGATAAATTAACCCGATTATAAAAGTCTCATTCAGACCTTCTCTTCCAGGAAAACAGATTGGTGTCTAGTGTAGATCTTGTCAGGATATTTTCCCACGATTGAGTAGATTCCCTGCCATGGAAACCAGAGGCCTGTGATGTCATTACTATCCACTGAGGCCACATACAGAATCTGTCAATTGATGGGCAGGATTCAGGCTCCCAGGGTTTGGTGGAGAAGGCAGAAGAACCTGCCTGTCCTGCCAACTCATATCCTCATCGAGTAGCCACTCTCTGTAGAGCACAGCCCCAGTGATCACAGGAAGAAGTGTGCACCCCAAATTATGATATGGGCCATTGTCAAGACTAACCTAAAAAACAGGATGTGCAACTTTGCCTTCAATTGTTGGAGAGGCAGAGATTTAGGAAGATTGTACTGTCAGTGATTTCTCCTTGGAGGTGAGCCTGAGGCATAAATGAGATTTGGACATGTGTGGAGGAAAACATTCCATCTAAGAAAATTTAAAAACAAATTCTTCTTGATCTTTTCCCAAGTGTGTATTTATAGAATTTCATGTTATTACACTTGAGGTCTCAAAAAATGAAGAGATAAAGAGTCTTATGGGACTACATAGGGAGAGAGGTAGTAGAGAGGTAGTAGAGAGTTAGTAGAGAGGAGAGGCTTCATGTTGTTCATGTTGGGGCTCCAGATTTTTTTTAAAATTTGGATTTTATTTAATTTTAATTTTTTTGAATTTAAATAGGCACATGTGGCTGGTGGCTGCCATACTGACAGTGCAGTTGTGGAAGGTGGAGAGAGCTATGACACAAATTTAATTAAAAGGTAAATTTTATAGTATGGTAGGAGATGATGAAGGGCAATGGGTGGTTAGCAGGAAGGGGAGATTGGGACAAAGGGATTGGGATATTTGATTTTCAGTTGATGGTCAGGCTCAGAAATCACTGAATATGACACTTGAACAGAGATTTGAAGGTATGAGAGAGTTAGCAACGCAGATATTTTGGGGAAGCATATATCAAGCGTTAGGAGGAAGGTAGGCCATTTTTAACAACTTTAGGTTTTACAATTTGAGAGTTTAGAGCAGACCTGATTATTCTGGTTATTATGTTGAAAATAGAAGGTAGAGGATAAGGGTACAAGCAAGGAAACTAGTTAAGAGATAGAACACACTGGAAAGGTGATGGTAGTCAGATCAAATGGTTAGAACAGATTTTGGGAAAAATATCAGATATATAATTTTGAGTATTTTAAGTTTGGTGTGTTATTAGATACAAACAAACAGAGAAAACAGGGAGATTGTAGTTCTACTCCAGATATATGGATCCCTGCCTTTGTAGAACTTATCCTTTACTGGACTATGGATGATAAACACAATAAACAAATAAAACATATACAGTGGACCCTTTAGTTACAACCTGCCTGACATACGAACAACTTGAGTTATGACCGGAATTTTAGTTTTAACTTACGATCAGTCTTGAGTTATGACTGGCCACTTGTGCTTCCAAATGGTCTCAGATTCAGATTTAACCCTTAAAGAGTTCTGGAAGGAACATTACTGTGAAGAGTTAATTGAGAAACCTGGGCCAGTGTCTTCCTAGGGACCCTGAGATCTGCCTGTATACAGGAGAGAGACTTTAAAGGCTGTGTAGAGGAGCCTGAGCTTTCAATTGACCAACTTGAGTTAAAGCCAGCCCTGGGGAATGCACTGAATTCATAAATTATAAGGGCCCACTCTACTATGTCAGAAGAGAGGTCCTGTGGAAAAATTGAAGTAGGGAAAGAGGGTTCATAGGTTGAGGAACTGAGTTCCTGAGATAGTAGCATATTCACTAGTGATAAGAAGGTGGTAAGGAAATAGCTGGGAGAAAAGTAGTTCAGAGAACCAAGGTGTAAAGGTTCCCAGGTGGGAGCATGACTGATGTGTTTGAAGAAGAGCAAAGAGGCTCAGTATGCATGGAGTGGCATGAGCAAGGAAAGGAGGGCTGGGGAATGACAGTACAGAGGCAACAGTATCTGGGTTGTAGGCCATTGTAAGCCCTCTGGCTTTCATCCTGAGGTGGGAAGCTAGTAAATAGATTAGCAGAAAGAGGCATGATCCAATCTGCAGTTTAATTAAGTCACTCTGCTTGCAGTGCTAAATAGACTAAAGGGACAAAGGTAGAAGCAGGAAAATTGGTTAGACTAAGGAGTAGTCCAGGAAAAAGACTGTAACAGTCTCTAGGGTGGTTACAGTGAAGATGTAAGGAATGATCATATTCTGGATATGTTTTGGGGGTTGCTTTTGGCTTACCAGTTGGATATGGGATGAGAGGAGTCAGGATTATTCCAAGAGTTATGACCTAAGCAATTAGATGGATAGAGTTACATTAACTGAGATGTGAAAGACTGGAAAAAGCAGGTTTGAAGAGGGTAATCAGGAGCTCGGTTTTGGACATGTTAAGTTTATGATGCCTGTTAGACATCTGAGTGTAATAAGTGTTCAATAGGCATTCTAATTACATTTATGGATGCTGTTTTATGTTTTAAAAAGAAATAATGATATTAAACAATGTACTCATTTTCTTGAAATATGTTATGCTTTGTTAGTATCTTAATTTTTAACATGTTCAATCCTGGCAAAACTGGAATAATTTGAAGAAAGAAATTATTTGACCATTTTTTGGCTTCACTGCCAGAAGTGATAGTTCTTTCTTAGAGTTAAATAAAATTGTCATTCCAATTTTAGAAATAGAAATATAACTATATAGTCTGAGTGATTTTACTTGCTTTTTATTTTAGGTCCTATTACTGCTGGATTGTGCAAGATTTTAACCCTATTTTTTTGAATTATGATTTAAATATCAAACATCTTAAATTGTATAAAAGGGAAGCATTTTAGTTTTGGAAGTCAGAATGCCAAGGAAAAGGAAAAATCTTGGGGGAAACCCTTTTCGGAAGACTGCAAACTCTAAGGAAATTGTATCCAATGTTGCTAGTCATGCGGAGCCAACCACTACTCTTCTTTCTGTGTGTGAGACAAAATTTGATCAGGAAGAACTCTTCACCAGTATCTCAGAGATGTTTTCTGAGCTGGATCCCGATGTAGTGTATTTGATGCTTTCTGAATGTGATTTCAAAGGTGAGAAAAAGTTTAGTTTGAACCCTTTACATCTTATAAGAAGACTTCATGTACTATGCTATGACTAGTACTGGTGTAGAAAAATAACTGTCATTTTTGTTCATTATTAAGCCTGCCATGGACAAGGTACCAAGTTTGGAATTATGAGGGACATGGAGTAAAATAAAGCATAGTTTCTGCTCTAAAGAAATACACAGTTCTACATGTAAGATGTAGGTATAGATATCATGTTTTACATCTTTTTTTTTTTTTGGTAGTGGGGATCGAACTCAGGACCTCGCTTGTGAGACAGGTGTGGTGCCACTGAGCTAAATCCCTGGCCCTGTTTACATCTTATTTTTATCTTTCTTCTAGAACAGGTTGGCGCTCTTGACATTTTGGGCTGGATAATTCTTTGTTGCGAATGGCTCTTCTATGCATTGTAGAATATTTAGTAGTATGCCTGGCTTTACCCACTAGATGCCAGGAATATCCCACCCCCTATTTGTGATGACAAAAAATATTTCTGTGTGTTGTGTTATCATTTGTCCCTGGGAGGCAAAATTGTACCTGTTAGAATCAGTGTCCTAGAACATAAGCTCCATGAAGACAGAGTTTTTTTTTTTTTTTTTGGTACGGGGGATCGAACTTGGGACCTTGCGCTTTCGAGGCAGGCACCAGAACCACTGAGCTAAATCCCTGGACCAAGACAGAGATTTTAAAAGCTGCTTTACTTCTGTATTTTCAACCCTTAAAATAACAAATAATAACACATAAGAGTTAGTAGAAGTTAATTGTAATTGAAATTGTGCAAATAAAAGCTGATTAAGAGCTAAAGCTAGTAGAGTAGTATGGTTTCAGAACATTGGCTTTGGAGTCAGGAAACCTGGTTTGGATTTCCAGTTCTGCCACTAGCAAAACTCTAAGTCTTAGTTTTCTAATCTGGTTTTTTTTGGTACCAGGGATCAAACTCAGGACCTTGTGCTTGAGAGGCAGGCTCAGTGCCACAGAGCTAAATCCCTGGCCTAGTTTTCTAATCTGTTAATCAAAAGTGAGGGGTGGGATTTAGCTCAGTGGTTCCACCGCCTGCCCCCCAAGTATAAGTTCCCAAGTTCCATCTCCAGTACCAAAAAAAAAAAAAAGAAGTAATAGTATGTATCATATAGGATTTTTTGGTGAGGATTGCCTTTTTTTAGTAAAGTCATCAGTGTAGTAAGTTCTTTTTTTTTTTTTTTTGGTACCGGGGATCAAACTCCGGTCCTTGCACTTGCGCAGCAGGCGGTGAAACCACTGTGCTAAATCCCCGGCCCTAGTAAGTTCTTTATAACTTGTACTGAGTGTTTGGAAGCATGTTTGCACACAGGAACGACTATAAATTGGCTAGATGAGTAAATTAAATGTTATAATTAGTATATTGTTATTGGTTATCTTTTTTTTTAAAAAAAATTTTTTTTTTTTTTGACTATCTTCTTTTTGAGACAGGGTCTCACTATGTAGCCCAGGCTCACCTGGAACTCACGGTGATCCTCTTGTTTCAGCCTTCCAAGTGCTGGGATTACAGGTCCCCTGGCTTGGCCATGATTAGTATAAAATGAAATTATTCTAAGGGTCGGGGCTGTAGCTCAGTGGCGCCTCACCTGCCTGACAAGCCCAAGATCTTGAGTTTAATCTCCGGCACCAAGAAAAAAAAAGAAATTATTCTAGATTTTGAAGATTTTGGTAATATGTGATAAAACTTTCATTTCTAATTGTGTGAGCTGTGATGGAAGCATATCTTCTTTATTCTGGTATTCAGAAAGCAAGATTTTTTTTTTTTTTTTGTTACCTGGGATTGAACTCGGGTCCTTGAGCTTGCGAGGCAGTCGTTGGAACCACTGAGCTAAATTCCCAGCCCAGAAAGCAAGGTTTTTGCAGTGCACTTTAGTGTTCAGGAATGATAATATATAGAATTTTATTCAGTTATTTTAGCATTTACTTCCTAATTTTTATGTCTATAAAATTTGTTGCACATAAATTAACATAGCAATGGGAAATTATAAGAAAATTGTATTATCATATATCCTAACAAAGAATTTATTTCTCTTTTTCTGGATCTTCTGTAGTCCTTGTTTATAAACATTTGATATTTTGAGTGGTTTGAATGATAGCATTAATGACATTTCATATTCTGCTTTTTAAAATTTAATATAAGCATTTGAAATTGTTGCTATAATCTGTATTTTAGTAGTTGTCTAATACTCCTATGAGTTGTTGTGCTTTATGCTTAAGTTTTTCAAGAATAATTAATATTGCAAAGAACATGTTGGTAAAAATAGCCTTTTTCTTCCTTTTGGCTTTTCTTCTTAATCTCAGAGTTTTATTTTCTGCATCACAGCCTAAGAACAGTGTTTAGCTCTTAGGTATGCTGATTTGTAATGCCACTGGCACTGTATAAGTGTAGTGCTTTCACCATTGGGCTCTTCAGCGCTGTGTGGAATTATTTTAAGATTGTAATAGGAATAAAATTGCACCTTTTCTTAATTTGTTTTTTCATAAAGGGGAACATTGGACATTTTTGTACGTGATTTTTTATTACTTCTTACATTCTTTTGTAAGTTCATTTTTTTTTTTTGGTTGATTTCATAATAGTTTTTTTCCAATTGTCTAAGGAATTTTCTTTTTGTGTGACAATTATCTATCTAGCTTGATCTTTTACTTATTTTACTTAATGGTGTTTTCATTTTGTATATGTTAATTTTTTTCAGTTGAAAGGTTTTTCAATCATGCATATTTTTTCATAGAAATACTTCTTGTATTTGCTTTCTTTCTTTTTCATTTTACCCTCCTTTTTTTTTTTTTTTTTCCATTTTTAGGGCTTCTTGCCTTTGTAGTATTGCTGTGATCTCCTAAATGGTCTGTCTGCCAGGCTTGCCCCTCCAATCCCTCTTTGTTTTTCTTCTTAAGGGAACATTAATTGGGTGCTTACTAGGTGACAGTCCTTGTGCACAACACTTTTTCATGGATTATCTCATTTAATCCTCACAACAACCTATGAGGTAGGTACTTTTATTATCCCCATGTTACAAGTGAGAAAAGTGGGGCTTAGGGAAGTTAACTAACTTGTTCAAAGTGTCATAGCCAGCAAGTACGAATTTAAATGCTGGTGTTCTGACTCCAGACCAGAGCTGTTACCTAAATGCTGTGCCACTTCCAGATTTATCTTCCTTAAAACAAAACAAGACATAACACAAAAATAAAATTAAAAAACCACAAATTTCAAATGCTTAAAAATTATTTTTATTATCATTCTTGTGCTCAGGATTAAATCCAGGCCTTATGCATGTCCAACAGGTACTCTGGCACTGAGCTACATCCTCAACCCTCAAATGCTTAAAAATTCTAATGGCTCATTATTGGTGTTATAACAGAAAAACCTCAGCCTTGGAGTCAGACACATCAGTCCTGGCTCTGTCACTTACTGCCTGTGTGACATGGGCCGTGGTAATGTATGTTTTGAGCTTCATTTTCTTCATCTATTTGTTAGGATGATATACCTCATAGTATTATTTGAGGATTCAGTGAGGTGATTTGTATAAAGCTTCTAGCCCAAATGCAGTAACTGATAGTTTTTAATCAAGTTCCCTTAGTAAATAAAATTCATGTTTCTTAGCATGATATACCGGAACATTCCCAGTTTCACTCAGTCTCCCTCTCCAGCTTTATCTTCTCTTATCTACTATACATGCACTGTGTGTCCACACTTCAACCAACTTCTTTTAATACCTTAAACATACTTTGCATTTTCAAGCTTGGGTTTACCTTTCCCTCTGTCCGGCAAGTTGCTTTTTAATCCTCAAATGCCAGTTTACATATCAGTTTATGTGAAGTATTCCCTTGTCTCCTAAATAGTGCTATGACATTTATATGTTATAAAAATACATTATTTAATCTATATTATGATGAATTATTTGTACAGTGGTACTGGGTTCACAAATGCTTTTGTTTTTGAACGGTTTGGTTCACAACCAGAAGTGTTTGGCAAAATTTTGTTTTTGTTTTTGAACTCTACAGCAGGTGACAAACAGGACTGTGGCCATCTTTTTTAGAATCATGGAACGAATTGAGTTTGTGAACTGAGGTACTACTGTACTGTAATTAATGAAGACTATGTACAAAGTATTCCTGATATATAGTACGTGCTTGTAAATATTCTTAAAATACTTATTACTTAAAGGGACATGCAGTAGGTAAGCAGTTGTTGACTAAATGAGCTGGCATTAGGACCTTTATAAATAACCCTAATACATACAATTACAGATACTTATACATTTACTCAATAAATTAATCAAAAAATATCTATTTGATAGTTTTTTGCTACTGTCTGAGTGGAAGAACAATGTTGGATGTCCCCAACATTGGAACTTTTCACTAATACAGACTTTGGTGTATTATTAGCAAAATAGCAATTTTAAAAAAATGATCCAAACATTGCCAATTTTACTGTATTCCATTCAATGCAAAAATCTAGTATTTTTCCTTTTAATGAGGTTATATCTTTTTTCAATATATATATATATATATATTGTTGTTGTTGTTGTTATTGTTCTTGTTGTCGTGCAGTTGAAAATGCCATGGATTGTCTATTAGAATTATCTACCACTGATGCCAAGATAGAAGAATCATCTTCAAAAACCTTTGTTGCTTCTGAGAACCATCTAAGTGAAACAGGAAGTGAAATAATGGAGAAGTATCCACCTAAAGAAGAGAGTGAAGATTCAAAACTGGATTCATTTTTGGATATGCAGCTAACTGAAGACTTGGATTCCTTAATACAGAATGCTTTTGAGAAACTGAACTCTTCTTCTGATGATCAAGCATACTCATTTTTGCCTTTGGGAGATGTTGATAGTCTTAATAACCCAAGTCAGTTTATAAATTCACATTCAAATAGTATGACTACTGTTCTTTCTATACAAAATATGGATTTGAATAGTGAAAATTTAGAGATTTCTGCCTCTGCATTAAATTCAAAACCATTAACTTCACATTCAGTTTTGAATGAGTCCAAAAGTTTTATGAAGGATAGCACATTGGCATTGGAAGATAACTATCCAGAAGATTCTCCTCTCAGTGGTTCTTTAAATCCAGCAAATGAGTCTATTGTGGGTTTTAACAATCTCAGTCAAAGACAGAAGGTGCTTTTAGATTCCAGCTGTGTTGAGGCTCAGCTCTCTCAAGCCCCTCTAGATTTGGATACCAGTGAACCTCAGGCTCCTTTAAACCTTCCTGTGCAAAATCCAGAGCTTGACTTAGCAGGTACAAGTGGGGATCAGAAATCTTTTTCTGTCTCTGATGTTTTTGTACCTTCTGAAGGGTTTAATTTCAAGCCACACAAACATACTGACCTGCCACCAAAGGAGATGGATGTGAATTACTGCCCAGTACTTACCCCTCTTCCTTTACTGCTCCCTCCTCCTCCTCCACCACCGATGTGGAATCCAGTGATCCCTACTTTTGACCTCTTTCGAGGAAACCATGGCTTTGTAGCTCCAGTTGTAACCACAGCTACACACTGGAGACCTTTCAACTACACATTTCCACCTTCAGTCATTTCTCACACTTCCCCAACAAAAATATGGAGAAATCAAAATGGAGCAAGTGCTTATCAAATAAAAGAGGCTCCCGTTTCTCAGGTTGTAAGAAAGAAGACAACATCTTATGTTGGACTAGTTCTTGTTCTTCTCAGAGGGCTTCCAGGATCAGGAAAATCTTTTTTGGCAAGGTATGAGGTTTTAATTACGTTTTTAAAAAGTATAATGTATAAATGTGAACAGATAATGTGAACATCCAGAATGTTTCACTTCATAGAGATGTTTCGTAACCACTGAAGTATTTTTTACTAATTTCTTCTAGCTTTCTACCTGATAACTTTTTTTTTTTTTTTTTGGTACCGGAGATTGAACTTGGGACCTTCCGCGTGCGAGGCAGGTGGCGGAACCACTGAGCTAAATCCCTGGCCCTAATAACATTGTTTTATTTTCCCACAAGTTTTTTAAAAACTCTCCTTCCAGAATATCTTTTGAAAGACTAAATAGAAGAAAAAAATAAAAGATGGTTCAAGAATTTGAGCTTGTGAAATTAACTGACATAGCTTTTTATGAAAGGGAGCTAATTTGATTGTGAGAAATGAAATTCAACTTTGATCATGGAGTTAAAAAGCCATCATGATTTTGAATTCATGGAAATGAAATCTTAAATACATGAATTCTAATGTTGGAAATTTGGTACTATAGTATATTGTTAAATAACACCTTTAGAAATACGTTATTTTGGGCCGGGGATTTAGCTCAGTGGTTTCGCTGCCTGCTGCGCAAGCGCAAGGACCTGAGTTCAATCCCTGGTACCAAAAAAAAAAAAAAATTCAAGTTGAATATGGTAGTGCAGGCCTCTAATCTAGCTAACTACTCAGGAGGCTGAGGCAGAAGGATTGCAAGTTTGAGGCCAGCTTGGGCAATTTAGCAAGACCATCTCAAAATAAAATTTAGAAAAGGGGAAAAAAATAGAAGGAAAAAATGGAAACAAAGCTTTTGTACATAGGGAGGGGAGGAGGATTGAGGGGGAGAATGGGATAAAATAAAATAAAATTTATTTAAAAACAAAAAAAGCCAGGTGTGGTGGAACATGCCTGTAATCCCAGTACTGAGGCTGAGGTAGGAGGATTGCTGAGATTTCAAGGCCAGTCTGGGCTACATAGTGAATTCAAGGCCAACTTGAACTGTGTAGTGAGAACTTGTCTCAAAAAATTAAAAAAAAAAAAGAAAAGAAAAGGGATTAGATGTAGCTTGGTAGCATGCTTGCTTAGTGCATGGCAGGCCCTGGGTTCAAACCCTAGCACCAAAAAGAGCAAAACAAAACAAAAACTTGTCATTTTGCCAACCTGTATAGTCAGCTCTAAATTGACATAAATCAAATAATTTGCATAAATCAAAATAGACTTGCCTTAGGTTCGTTTTTTGTTAGACAAACTTGTTTATAGGATTTCCAGTATGATTTGAATATTATAATAAATATTAGTACTTGAAGTTTTAATTGAATTATATATTGACTGTATAATTTAGAAGCGAGAATTTTGGAAGGAAAATTAATGAAAATAATTCCCTTTATCATTTACAGGTCTTTGCAAGAAGATAATCCAAGTGGCGTTGTTCTTAGTACTGATGATTATTTTTATATAAATGGGCAGTACCAGTTTGATATTAAGTACTTAGGAGAAGCACATGAATGGAACCATAATCGTGGTAAGAATGGACAGGAGATTCTGGGTAGTATTAAGAGTAATATAATGTAAAAATTCACTTCCTTGCTTTTTGGTTTTTTGAGAGAGAGTCTCACTATGTAGTTCAGGCTGGCCTCGAACTCACAGTAATCTTCCTGCCTCAGCCTCCTGAGTGCTGGGATTACAGGTGTGTGTCACCACACTTGCCTCATATTTGTGTTTTGAGAGAGATATAACTTTAAAGAATTTATAATTAACTTTAACTCTTTAAGTGCATAGTACAGATACAATCATAACTATGGTTAACATTAACTTGTGTTACATAGTAAGAGGTAAATGAGTAAGAGTGAATTCATGGGACTGTTATGAGGATTAAATTTTTTAAAAAAGTTAATTTTTATAAGATGTGTAGAATATTGTATGGCACCTGTAAGTTTTATTTAATCAATGGGGAGCTTGACAGAAGTTATCTAATTTTCTTCCTGGATCTCAGTAGCTCAAGGAAGTTAAAATTGTCTGGTGTGCTCTAATTCCTTTTGTTTTTAAATAGAATTTTCCTTGTTAACCCTTGGTCATCCTAGATTGGTTTAATATTTATAGAGGTAGTGTGAGAGTAAAAATGGCTCTCTTCACGCTGAATCTGCAGGCAGATCATAGGTAAAACTTTTGTTTCTTTTTCTTTATTTTTTGGTTTGTTTGTTTGTTTATTTATTTATTTATTTATTTTTGAGATAGGGTCCTGCAATGCAGTTCAGGCTGGCCTTGAACTCACTATGTAGGCCAAGTTGACTTTGAACTTGCATTGATTTTTCTGCCTCAGCCTCCCGAGTGCTAGGATTACAGGGGTGCACCACCACACCTGGCTAAACCTTAGTTTCTTATTAGTACAACAGTCTTCACTGAAAATGGCTTTATTCTTTTTTTTTTTTTTTGGTACCGGGGATTGAACTCGGGTCCTTGCGCTTGCACAGCAGGCGGTGAAACCACTGAGCTAAATCCCTGGCCCTAGCTTTATTCTTAATGTTTAATTAGTTGCAGTTTGAATTTTATATGGTAGGTTCTTTTTTTTTTTTCTTTTATTAGTACATGTTTGCAGTTATGATTACATTCACTGTGAGGAGTTGGTACATGGACATAATACATGTTAGGGAAATTCTAAGACACACAGGTAATATTTGACTTGGTCTCTTATGATACATGGGCTGTGAAGGCAGTTCTTAAGTTTGCCATCATGAGGCATTGTTCCATTTTTATATATTCTTTCTTGAACTAAGAATTAAAGTAAGAACTTAGGAATATGAAAACACCAACACAACTGAAAATAAAGGATACAGTGTGATGTGATGTGAAGATCAGCTTTGATTTGCTGATTACTAGCTGTGCATCTGGTGCAGGTGATTTGTGTTCGCACAGGCCCAATGTCCTCATCTGTGAAAGAGGCCAGGGCTGGTGCTCGCTTCAGCAGCTCATATACTAAAAAGAAGCCAGGGCCGGGGATTTAGCTCAGTGGTGCTGCCACCTGCCCTGCAAATGCAAGGACCCGAGTTCGATCCCTGGTACCAAAAAAAAAAAGAGGCCAATAATATCTCCCAGGTTTGTTGTGAGATTAAATGAAAATGAGAAGTGTTTAGCACTGGTTCACTGTGCTCTTATAACAGCAGTAACCACAGCGATAATAGTAACAATATATTAATAGTCAAAACTTTTAAACTGCTTTATTGGAATGTAATTCAAAGGTCATAAAATTCACTGATATAAGTTATTCAATGTAATGATATTTAGAATTTAATATTCAGGGTTGTCCATCCATCATTACAATCAGTTTTAGAGCCTTTTATCACCTCAGAAAGATTCTGTACCCTTTAGCAGTCATTCTTTTCTCCTCATGTAGTTTCTGTCTCTATGTTTGCTATTCTGCACATTTCACATAAACAAAATCATATAATATGTGGTCTTCTGTGACTAGCTTCTTTGAGTTAGCATAGTGTTTTTAAGGTTTATCCATGTTGTAGCATGTAGTTTCAGTACTTCATTCCTCTTTTTTTTTTTCCTTGGTACCGGGGATCGAACTCAGGACCTTGTGCTTGCGAGGCAGGCGCGGTGCCACTGAGCTACATCCCCAGCCCCATTCCTCTTTTAAAGCTGGTAATACTCCATTGTATGACTACTGCATTCTATTTATCTGTTCGTCAGTTGATGAACATGTGTCTTTTAACAATGCTTTTGCAAACATACCTACATGTCATTGTCTGACCTTTTTAGTAATTTCCAATTATTTTCCAAAGCAATTGTAACACTTTCCATTTGAAATAATAGTTTATGAAGATTTCAACTTCTCTATATTCTCACCAACACTTATTATCTGATTTTTTGATGGTAACTATTCTAGTGAGTGTAAAGGTGTAATTCATTGTATTTAGCTCAGTGGTGCCGCTGCCTGCCTGGCAAGCGCAAGGTACTGAGTTCCATCCCCGGTACCAAAAAAACAAAAACAAAACAAAACAAAACAAAACTTACATGTAGAGATGGTAGATTTGTCAAAACTAAGAAATTAACATTGGTATGTTACTATTAACTAAACTCCAGACTTCATTTGGATTTTAATTTTTTCACTAACTTCCCCCCCTCCCCCACCCCCTTTTTGGTTATTTGAGACAGGGTCTCACTTTGTAGTTCAGGCTTGCCTTGAACTCACAATGTAGCCTTGAACTCATGGCAATCCTCCTCCTCAGCCTCCCATGTACTGGATTACAGGCATGCATCACCATGCCTGGCACTAAAGCCCTTTCCATTTACATAATCTAATCTAGAGTACCAGGTTGCTTTTTACCATGATATAATTTTTCTGTGATTATTACATAACAATAGTGTTTATTTGCATTTGTTATTCAATAAATGCTTTAGTTTTTCATATTCTCAGCAGTGATAGTTATATCAAGTAGTGAATAGAATTAGTACATATCTATGGTTTTCAAATTTAAAAAAATCACTTTAAAAAATGAAAACAATATTAAAATAAATGGCTGCTATCATGAAATCAACCAACAACAAATGCAGGTGGGGCTGTGGGGTAAGAGGAATACTGCTCCACTGCTGGTGGGAGTGTAGACTGGTGCAACCACTGTAGAAATCAGTATGGAGATACCTCAAAGAACTAGGACTGGAAGTCCCATTTGAACCAGCTATTCCCCTGCTGGTTATCTTCCCCAAGAATTAAAAGAATCATACCACAGTGATATATGTGCACCCATGTTCATAGCAGCACAGTTTGTAATAGCTAAAACTTGGAAACAGCCCAAATGCCCATCAACTAGAGACTGGATCAAGAAAATGTGGTTTTTTAAAATAAAATGGAGTACTACTCAGCCATCAAAAACGAGAAATTAGAGACATTTATTGCTAAATAGATGCACATTGAGGTGATACTCTTAAGTGAAATAAACAGGACACACATGTATCCCAAATAGTTTCTCTAGTGTGAGAAACTGAAAGTGTAAATAAGGACTAGAAGGTATAGTAGATAATGTGAAAAAGGAAGAAAAGGGCCAAAGGGGAAGGGGAAGTGGGAGGGGTAGGGGAAAGGAAAGAAGGGACTGGAATTAATATGAGAAAATGAAAAAACGGAAACAAAGTCTTTGTAAATAGGGAGGGATGGAGGGGTTGAAGGGGGGAGGGCAGGGGAAGGGGGAAAAAATAAGAACCAAGAGATTATGTAAAGGTGCAAATTTCCAATGATGAATGTCATTACATTGTACACTTAAAATGTACCAATAAAAGGATATACAAAAAAAAAGTACTGAATATTTAATATTTATTGAGTGTTTATAAAAAAGCATTAAAATTTAAAAAAAAGAATATTAAAATGATTTGTCAGGGCCGGGGATTTAGCTCAGTGGTTCTGGCGCCTGCCTTGCAAGCGCAAGGACCCGAGTTCAATCCCCGGTTCCAAAAAAAAAAGATTTGTCATTTTCTACTGTTTTTCAGCAAAAGAAGCATTTGAGAAGAAGATATCGCCAATCATAATTGATAATACAAATCTACAAGCATGGGAAATGAAACCATATGTTGCTTTGGTGTGTACCATAAGTTGTTGTAAGTTTCTAATAGTGGGTTTGGAATCATTGAGTGATGTTACTTGTACAGGTAAATCTCAAGTACTTGAGAATCTCAGAATCTTGTTCTATCTTGAACTCAAGTTTCTCTGGTCTTTAGTGAAATGAGAAAAATGAACAATTAATATAGCTGAGTTTCCCAAAATTCTAAATTTATTCAGCTTTTAAATACTGAGAATTAATATCTTAAAATTTAAAATTGTTTTGGTATCTTTTACAGAAAGGTAATAGTATTAAATTTTATTATTAAGCTGGGTATAATCGTGCATGCCTATACTCCCAACACTTGGGAGGCTGATGCAGGAGGATTGCTGGGATTTTGAGGCCAATCTGGGCTACGTAGTAAGTTCAAGTCCAGCCTGAACTGAACTACCTAGCGAGACTTTGCCTCAAAAAAACAAACCCTTTTTAAATTCTTATTCTAGGTGTGTATGTATAGACACATATGTACCTGTATACATGCACCTTCTTTTTGTTTTTTTGTATGGTTCCGGGGATAGAACTCAGGACCTTGTGCTTGCGAGGCAAGTGGTGGCTAAATGAGCTAAATCCCTGGCCCTACACATACCTTCTTTTACCCCTCTGATTGCTTACGTGGAAGAATTAAGATTTGATGGTCCTGGGGCTGGGGATTTAGCTCAGTTGTTTCGCTGCCTTCCTTGCAAGTGCAAGGACCCGAGTTCAATCCCCATTACCAAAAAAAAAAAAAAAGATTTGATGGTCCTATGGTGGTGCATGCCTATAATCCAAACACTTAGGAGGCTGAGGCAGGGGGACTGATTACCTACAGTTTGAGGCCAGACTGGCCTACATAGTGAGTTCAAGGCCAGCTTGGACTACACAGTGAGACCCTGTTTCAAAAAACAAAACTAAACAAATTTGGTAGTCCCTTGTTACTATTCAGATTAAAAAAAAAAATTATGCTGTTCTGAGAAATTCCGAATTCTGTAAACTCAACTATTTTCATTTTTCTCAATTTTCCAGATTCCTCTTAGACCCTACCCTGGAACACTTTCACTCTTTCTGCAGCCCACATTGGCCTGGACTATGGGTTACTTGTTCTTCTTGCATCCCCCACTCCAATTTTGAGACAGAGTAGTGCTAAATTGTCCAAGAAGGACTGAAACTTCCAATCCCCCAGCCTCAGCTTCCCAACGAAGTAGGTGGGATTACAAGTGTGCATCACATGCCTGGCTTTGCCTAGCTGAATTAGTTGCTTTTTACATTTGTGCCACCCTGGCTTATTTCTCCTATAGGGTGATGTATGCTGTTTTTTATTGTAGGCCACGAGGTAGATTTACTTTTCTGTAAAGTGCAAGTAAATATTTTAGATTTTGTGGGCACATCCAATCTCTGTTGCATATTCTTTATTTCCTCCCACTTCTCTGTTCTTAGTTTCCATTCAAAAGGGAGCAGGGAAATAGGGACATAGCTGGCAGGGAAATGAGGTGAAGAGTAAGCTGGCAGAAAAATGTTATAATTTAAAAAATTCCAGGCCAGGATTTAGCTCAGTGACCTTGGAAGTACAAGGTCCTGAGTTCAATCCCTGGTACCAAGGGAAAAAAAAAAAAAGAGTCCTACACACAGTAGATGAGCCCTCTGCCACTGTATCACATCCCAAACTGTGAAGTAGTTGTAAAATTATAAAAGTTAATGCAGACATATGATAAATATTCAAACTCCAAAAAAGAAAAATATGCCTAAAGTCCTCCTCTCTATAGGTAAATGCTTTTAATAGTGTTTTTGAGAATCTGTGCAGTTTTCCATGCACATACAAATTGTCCAACAAGAATTCTCTCTTACTTTTTCAACAGTTTAAGGACTTTCATTAACACATGAAGAATTTAAAAAATTACTGTGTAATATTTTTATTTTAAGGCTATCTCTTCATTTAGCCAAATCCATATTAATAGTCATTGAGTTATTTGTATTCTTTTCCTGTCACGAATAATAGTGAACCAGAAATCCTAGCATGCATGCATATATATGTGTGTGTATACAAGTAGGTATGACATAGGTATACCTCTTTGTTCTCTTACATACTTTTCAATACTATACCTTACTGGATGTTAATTGCCGGGTCACAGAAATTGTATGTTTTATCAGTTTAACCTACTCTAAAATAATCTTTGAGGTTCTTTCACTTTTAACATGCTGTGAGTTTGGAAATAATGTGATTAGTGGCCCTGTGCCTGCTTCGCAAGCGCAAGGTCCTGAGTTTGATCCCTGGTACCAAAAAAAAGAAGAAAGTGGAAATAATGTGATTAATTTCATGGAAATAATTATTTTTAAATGTTTTTGTCTTTTTATATGTAGTCACAGAAACATAAATATAAAGTCCTTTTCCGGGAACCAGACACATGGTGGAAGTTCAAACCAAAGGAACTTGCAAGGTAAAACTTGGAGGCTAACATGTTTTTATTTCATGATAGAAAGCCCATCTAGATTTTTTTTTCCTTCATAAATGATGAATGAAGCAAAACTGAATATATTACAGCTTTGTCATGTCAAAATTGACAACAAAATTTGATATCATTTGTTTTTTTCCAGTTTTATGATGAGTATAGCTTTGTTTCTAAAATTTGTCGTAATACACTCAGTACTTTAGTTCCTTTTAATAATGCATTAATATCTGAAATTAGAGCAGGCCTTAGGACTTGGCACACTTGAGCTATGTGCTCCTGGTAGGGACTTGCTGCCTAGTGACTTAGACTGGAAAGTGTTAAGGAGATAAAAATTGAGAAGATAAAAAATATCCAAATATTTTACCCTCCCACCATCTGGGGTTATACTTTTTTATTTATTTGGTTACTTGACTTGAATAAAAAAATGTTATTCAGGGCATAGACATAATTTTTTTTTTTTGCCTTGTCTTTCATATTCCTTTAGAGTCAGGCCTAGTTTAAAATTAGGGTATTTTCTTCTTGGTAATTTTAACTAATTTCTGTACTAACTAAAGGACAACCTAACTTTTTCTGTGTTGTGTGACTAATTCCCGAATATTTACATTTCATCAAAAAGAAACCTCACTCCCAATTTTAGTTTACTAGTTTACTCCCAATTCCTCCCTCCTTTTGGTGGCCACTCATCTGTTTTCTCTCTATAGATTTTCCTATTCTGGACATTGTATATACATGGACTCTTTCAAAGTGTGCCCTCTTATGTCTGGCCTCTTTCACTTAGCATAATGTTTTATGGTTCATCCCTGTTGTAACATATATCAGTACTGAGTTCCTTTTTATTACCCTTTTGATACATTACTGAATTTGGTTTCCTATATTCCATTTAAAATTTTTACACTTGTACTGCATGTGTGAAAAAGAGCCAGATTGACCTGCAATTTTTCCTTCCTTGCTCTTCCTTGCCTGACTTAACATTAGTTGGGAGGCATTTTCTCTTTTTCTCATTTGAAGTTTATCTAAGTTTGAGTATTTGATAGAATTTACTTATTAAACTATTTTGATCTAGTGTTTTCTTTATGAGAAAATTCAGTTGGAATTTCTCCATCACATCAAAGTTATTAAAACGTTTATAATATTCTTTTACCTTTTAGGTCTCTACTGCATTTACAGTTAAGTTCCCCTGTTCAATCCTAATATATTCACATTATCTTCCTACATTTTTTTCTTGATCATTCTCACCAGTGATTGGCTTTTTTTTTTTTTTTTGGTACCAGGTATCGAACTCGGGTCCTTGCGCTTGCAAGGCAAGCGACGGAACCACTGAGCTAAATCCCTGGCCCAATTGGCTTTTTTTATTAGCCTTTCCAATAAACAACTCTTGACTTAGTCAGTTTTCTCTGCTGGAAGTTGTTTTGTGTTTAATTCATTTCTACTTCTCTTCATTCTACAATCTTTGCCTTTTTTTTTTTATATGAAAAGACATTTTATTACTTTACTATTACCACAGTATCAGAGTGCATTTTCTTCAATGGCAAAGGAGGCACAACATTTCTCCGATTCTTCCAAGAACCTCAATATCATCTGTCTCTTGGGGGATTCAGTTTCATACGACGTCTGTGATACAGCCCATGAGGGAGGGTACCAATGATGCTTGGTCGTGAAGAACATTTTACTAAGTTGTTCTATCATGGGTCCTTGCTCAAGGCGTTCACTTTTTTCTTCTAATCTGGTTTTCAGCACGTGATCATGTGTTTCTTCAATATTATGGACAGGGTCTGGTTGAGGGATGGGTCTTTTGTGTTCATATAGAATGTTCACAGAAGGGGTGGTAGCATACTATTGTCCTGCCATCAGATGTCAAAGCAAGCTCTGCTTTGCAATTATAGTCATCTTGACAGCTACTCAACAGCTGGACCGCCATCTTGCCCACCTATCTTTGCCTTTTGAAACCATTTTTCTTTTCTTAGTCTGTTATTTTGAAAACTTCTTTACCTGAAGAATTAGATTATTTTCTAATATCATCATTTGATGCCATACATTTTCCTGTTTACTACTTATCTGTTCTCAGAATTTTAATATAATCCTTTCTTTTTGGTCATTTGATGCCATAAATTTCCCTGTGTAGTCCTTTATCTACTCTTAGAATTTTAATATATATAATCCTGTCTTTTTTGTTAGTATTTATTTTCCAAGTTGCATTATGGTTAATTTTATTCTTTAACTCCTGAGTTATTTAGAACTATGTTCACGTTCCTGAACAATTGGATATTTTCATTTTTGGGGGACATTTTCCTTTTTTAAAAGACTGATTTTCAACTTAAATGTAGTAGGTCATATTGTGTGGTTTGTATGATACTAATTCTCTGAATTTTTTTTTTTTCTTTTTTTTGAGCCAGGCTGTTGCTATGCAGTTCAGGCTGACCTGGAATTCATTATGTAGCTAGGCTGGCCTTGAACTTGGCAGTGATCTTCCTTCCTCAGCCTCCTGAGTGCTAGGATTACATGCATACCACCATGCCCAGCCTTTCTGATATTTTTAGATAGTTTATGGCCTAGTTAATTGTCACCTTTTAGTAAATGTTCCATGTGTGCTTAATAAGAATGCTTACTGGTTATAGTGTATATTCATGTATCCATTAATCATGCTTATTAATTCTGTTGCTCAGCATCTTCTGCAGCTTTTTAATCTGCCCAATTGATTAATATTTTGGAGAAGAATGGTGAAATCTCCCACTGTGAGAGAAATATTGAAAAATCCTTCTATTATGTTGAACATGTCAGTTTTTCCTTATTATTTTGCCTATCTTTGCTTTTTTTTGATACCGGGGATAGAACTCAGGTCCTTGCACTTGCACAGCAGGCAGTGAAACCACTGAGCTAAATCCCCAGCCCTCTTTGCTTTTTTTTTGGTACCGGGCATAGAACTCAGGACCTTGTGCTTTCGAGGCAGGCAGTGGAACCACTGAGCTAAATTCCCGGCCCTCTGTCTTTGCTTTATGAGGGAATTTGTTGACATTCATAGGAGTTTTAAGTGTTTTTTTTTGTTTTTTTTTGGTACCGGGGATCGAACTTGGGACCTTGGGCTTGTGAGGCAGGCAGTGGAACCACTGAGCTAAATCCCTGGCCTGAGTTTAAGATTTTGATATCACCTTAATTTAGCCTTTTATCCTTTGTCTAGTAATTTTTATCTTTAATAGTAATATTTGTTATGAAGTGTAATTTGCCTAATATTAACAGAATTATACAAGCTCCCTTTTAGTTAGTATTTGAATGTTATTTCCTTTTCAATATCCTTATGTTTATACATGTATCTTTTTTTTTTTTTGGTACTGGGTATCGAACTTGGGTCCTTGTGCTTGCAGGGCAGACGGTGGAACCACTGAGCTAAATCCCCGGCCCTATACATGTATCTTTTGTAACTACAATGGCTAGGTTTTAAAAACCCTGCTCTGTTAACTGGTCATACTGGTACACACCTGTATTCCCAGTTACTTGGGTGGCTGAGGCAGGAGTATTGCAAGTTTGAGACTAGCTTGGCCAATTTAGGGATACCTTGTCTCAAAATAAAATATAAAAAGGAGCCAGGCATGATAGTTCACGTACCAGTGCTTTGGGAAGCTAAGGCAAGAGGATTGCAAATTTGAGCCTAGCCCGAGCAACTTAATAACTTAGCAAGATTTTTTCTTGAAATAAAATATTAAAAAGGTTAGGTATGTAGCTCAGTGTGAAAGCCATGGGTTCAATCCCCGGTATTGAAAAAAATGAAACAAAATAAAACAAAAATTCAAAAACAAAATAAAAAACCACAAATAACAACAACAACAACAAAACTACTCTGTCCATCTTAGCTTTTAACTGGTAAACTTAGTTCTTTTATAGTTGTCTTGTTATTCATATAATTGATGATCTTTCTCACTGTTTCATATACTTTCTTTGTTTCTTTGTTTCTTGTTTTTTTGGCTTTTTTGAGACAGAGTCTCACTCTGTATTTCAGGCCAGTTTTGAACTCACTGTGGCCTCAAGCACTTGGCGATCCTCTTGCCTCAGCTTCCCAAGTGCTGAGATTATGGATGTGTGCTACCACGCCTGGCCTTCACTATGCTTTCTATTTATCTCACTTTTTCTGTGATTGTTCTATCACAGAAAATTATATAGTTGGATTTTTTTCTCCTATCATGACTAATTTTGGATTTTTTGATCAAATCTAAATTTTCTTCTTCATTCTTTTTTTTTCTTTTTGCGGTACTGGGGAATCAAAGTCAGACCTTGCCCTTGTGAGACAGGCACGGTGCCACTGAGTTTAATCCCCGGCCCTATCTTACTCATTTTTTTTCTTCTTGATAATCTGTAAATTAGTGTATGCTTTTATTTTAGTGGTTACCTTATAATATTTATCATGTAAACTTTAAATCTAAAGTTAAACCATTTTTTAGGCCTTCTTCCTCACAGTACAAGGACTTTAAAATATTTTAACTCTGATATATTAATATTTTAGCTCCCAGCTTACATGGTGTCACTATCTAGTACATATGGACAGTGTTTTTAATTGTATCATTATTGCTCTATGTCATTTTTTCTGGCATTGTAGAGCTTTCATCTGGGAATTTCCCTCTGCCTGATACTCACCTTTTAGAAACTAGTAAAGGTCTGGTTGATGTCAAACTATTTATTTATTTTTTTTGGTACCAGGAATCGAACTCAGGACCTTCCACTTGCGAGGCAGGCGGCGGCACCACTGAGCTAAATCCCTTGCCCCAATGTCAAACTGTTTTTTAAAATTTTAATTTGAAAATCCTTTTGTTGCTCTCATTCTTGTAAGATACTTTTGCTGTATGCCTTCTAGATTGACATTTATTTTCTGTTATGGAAGATTACATTTAATTCTCTGCTCATTTCCATTTGTTATTATTGTTTGTAGATGTCCAGCTCAAAAATTTTTTTTATTTTTTTTGGTACTGGGGATCGAACTTGGGTCCTTGTGCTTGCAAGGCAGGCGGTCAAACCACTGAGCTAAATCCCCAGTGAGCTCAAAAATTTTTACAAAAATTTCTGACTGCTTTTCTTATGCATCCTTTTATCTTTGGTAAATGACAGTTTTAGTACTGTGTTTTTCGTTATGGATTTCATCTTGTTTGGGGTTTGTTTGGTTTCTGATACTACACTTGATCTTAGCCAAAAGGCCGAGAAGCGATTGTTTGGTTTCTGAAATCAGGGGATTGTTGTCTTTCATCAGTTCTGACAAACTCCGAGTATTTTTCTTTAAATTGTGCTTTTGTCCCATGCACTCTCTTGTCTTCTTGGGACTTGAAATTGATGGATATTAGACCATTTTGCTCTGTCCTCTGTTTTTTTTCTGGTATTGGGGATCGAACTCGGGACCTTGTGCCTGCAAGTCAGGTGGCGGAACCATTGAGCTAAATCCTCAGCCCTGTTCTCTGTTTCTTAACCTTTCTTTCATATTTTCTATATCTTTGCTTCTCTGTGATCTGAAACCAGACAAGATTGAGGTAGGTAAATATGAAAGCCAGATTTCACCAAAGAGGCAAACACTCATATTAGTCCTGGGTCTAGATACAAAACTTTGAATCCAACCCAGAATGAGTTTCAAGTGAGATGTTTTCATTAAGACAAGACTCTTGAGGGGTTAAACCATACCATCCGGTCTGATAGATGCAAATCCATATGCTGTGTAAATGAAAGCACCCTCGGTTTAAGACCTAAGGATTCCCATGTTTTATTCAACTATATATGAACTCATTAACAAGAACACACAAAGAAATGAACCAACATGAGTAAAAAGACAAATAATAAACTTCGTATTTGGACATTTAGAGACTTCATATACTAGGAATTTTTTGTTTAAACTTAAAATGTAATAACATATGTTTGATTTTAGTTTACATTTAGTCTAATTTTGTTATGACATGAGGACACTTTTAAGCATTCTAGTCTGCCATATTGGCATAAGTGAAAGCCTTTATAGTGGGATGTTTATACTCACTAGTTTATAATTAACAAAAGCCTAGAAATGACAGTGACAGTTCAGGAGATTATAAATTCTTAGGAGATTTTGTTGTTGTTGTTGAGACAGAGTCTCACTCTGTAATTCAGGCTGGCCTTAAACTCACTATGTAGCCCAGGCTGGCCTTGAACTCGAGGCAGCCTTCCTGCCTCCACCTCCTGAGTGCTGGGACTAGAGGCATATGCCACCATGTCTGGCCCTTAATTTTCTTTTTTTCTTTTTCTTTTTTTTTTGGTATAGGGGATCGAACTTGGGATGTTGCGCTTGCGAGGCAGGCAGCAGAACCACTGAGCTAAATCCCCAGCCCTAAAAGGAGGCTCAGCGATTTTTTTTTTTTTTTTTTAGAACTTAATTTTCCCAAGTTGATAAAGTGTTCTTAGAAAAGAAAGCCTGATAGAATGGAAATTAGAAACAAATAGTGTATATTATGATAAACCAGTTTTAATATTGTTTTGTATTAGAAATGTATTATTAATAAGGCTAGGGAGGTAGCTCAATGGTAGAGTATATTAAAGCCCTGAATTTAAGCCCTAGTATGGGGGGGGAGGAGAGAAAAAAAAAGATATGTATCAGCTTTCTCTTAGACATTGTAAGTTTTTTTTTTCTTTTAACTCAGTTATCAATAATTCATCTGCTCTTTGGAATTTTCAGGCGTAACATTCATGGGATAAGCAAAGAAAAAATAATAAGAATGTTGGAACACTATCAGCGTTTTGTTTCAGTGCCAATAATCATGGATTCTTCAGTGCCAGAGAAAATTGAACGTATTGAGTTGTGTGCATCTTGTGAGGACAGAAGTCCCAGGTAGGTTAAAATGCCTCTTTACAAAAATTTATTTTGAAACAATTTTTTAAAATGGTTAATTTCAGAGCTTGTGAAATCAGTGCAATTAACTTTAAAAATAAGGTAGACTTCTGTTATTTCTAAGTGTGTAGGTACAGTCTCATCTAGATTTAGCTGAGAATAAGTTAGCAAGAGAGGTAAAAGCTCATATGAGAGGTATGATAGTTTTTTCATTGTGCTCAGCATTTTGTGCATCTGTGATTATACTATGAGTATACCTGTCTTTGTTCCAATGTTTCCCTTATTTCTTTACTATTTTGGCATCCATATCACTTCTTAATTTTCTAAGGTTTTAGTGAAAATACTCTTTTAAACTTTTATCATAAAAATTAATTATTCATAGTTTACTTTTACTAATACAAGTCACGACTCTTTGGGAGCTTACAATTTGGGAAAATACTTGTGTTAGCCAGCATGCTATCACTAAAATATACCTGAAATAATCAACTTATTTTGACTCACAGTTGTAGAGTTTCTAGGCCTTGATCGATTGGCTAAGTTGCTTTTCCCTTTGGTGAGGCTGTGTAATGTGGCAAGAAGAGTGTGACAGAGCCGAACCATTTACTTCATGTCTGGGAAGCAAAACAGAGGAAGAGGCAGCCCCTTCAAGGCTGCACCTGACAACTTTCGGTCCTTCGAGAGGTCCTGCCTCTCAGCTTTTGCCACCTCCTGGGATCACCACCCAGAGGACCGAAACTTTTACCTGTGGGTCTTTGGAGGATACTCATCCATACCATAGCAGTACTGATTCTGTGGAGTATTTAGAGCACATATAAACAATTGAACAAATAAATGAATAAATAAGAATCTAAATGTCTGTTGAGGTCTGAAGTGCCATATTTTTTGATGGCAAAGGATGAGAGGCTTTGTTAAAAAGGAGTTGAGAGAGAGGGCTGGGGATTTAGCTCAGTGGTTCTGCTGCCTGCCTCGCAAGCGCAAGGACCCGAGTTCAATCCCTGGCACCAAAAAAAAAAAAAAAAAAAAAAAATTATAAAAACATGGGCTGGGGATTTAGCTCAGTGGTTTTGCTGCCTGCTGTGCAAGCGCAAGGACCCGAGTTCAATCCCTGGCACCAAAAAAAAAAAAAAAAAAAAAGGAGTTGAGAGAAGGGAAGAAAAAATTTACAAATCCTTTTTTATTGAGAAGCAGTGTTCCAGAGTGGTTAAGAGCATGGGCCTGAGCTATAGGTCCTGGGTTCAAATCCCAAAACCTTGGAATCTTTGAGAAGTGTCAGTAATACACACTGCTTCCAAGGATGTCATAAGGATTATGAAGTAAGACTGTGAAAGACTTGGAATAACATCTGACACATGGAAAACTTTAACTTTAGGTGTGATTTAACTTAGGAAGTCTTCATGGAAGAATTGGCATCTTGAGAGTTCTTGCAATAAAGAAAGGAAGGAAGATGAGTTGACAAACTGAATTAGGAAAGTTGAAAGTATAATGTTTAAGCGAAAGTGTTCTGAATCTGAAATTAACATCCTTAATTTAGCAATGATAAACATTTAACAAATGATATCTCAAGTGAGAGAGCTCTTCCTCCTTTCTTTAATTTCTCTTAACCACGCAAATCATGTTGGTTGGTTCTTTCTGACTTTGTACAATGAAGCTTCCTCTCACAAGTGGTGATAGATACAGGGATAGACCCAGTGTTAGGCTAAGCTAATATGCATTTGAAAGAAGTGGAGGAAGTGATACCCTCTTTCTGGGAAGAAATTTAAAGCCTTAACTTTCTTATTTAATGAATAATGAACAACTTAACTGAAAAACTGATGTTTCCTCTTCACTTAAAAAAGTTTGCTTCATATATGCCAAGCATCATGCCAGATGTTGAGATTACAAGAGAATTGAACCCAGGGTCTTGCACATGCTATATCAATATATACCATTGAGTTATATATCACTCAGCTATGTGCCCTGATGAATTTTATTATTTTAATGTAGTTTTTTAAAAAAAAAGAATGTGTTAAGTGTACATGGTAAGTCACATAATTCTTTAATTTAAATCATAGTATTAATGGCAATGTTGAGAGACTTATGATATTTAAAAAAAATCTTACAGCCCAAGAGACAGTGAAGACAATACCTCTGTAAAAGAAGAAAATGTTACATCCTCTTCTTTGAAGCACCTAGCGTTAATTGAAGAAAAGAATCTTGAAGTGGCTTTTTCTCTACCAGAGAATGTTACATGTCTCCTTCATGCAGATTCAAACAAAGGGAGAGAAGAAATAAGTGGTATGAATCATAGCACTCAGAGTGCTTTCACGCAGGAAGCTCCTCACATTTGTCTTTCTGACTCTGAAAGCAAAGTTCAAGCAACAGACAAGAGGGAAAAAGAAGAGGAAGTAGAAATAACCTCTGCAAAAGAATGTACTGAAGCCAGTTCAGGTAGTCCTAGAGAGAGAATATCACCAAGTATTTGCTGTGGTGAAAATAATCAAGAAGAATTTGATTTTGCAAATACTGTACCATTTCAAAAGGAAAAGTCTTCATCTAGTGAAATATTAGGAGAAAGAATCACAGTAAAGAAAAAAACTGTTGGAAACCAAAAAAGCAGATCACTTGTGGAAAAGTTTCCAAGACATGAGCTATCAAGTTTTGTTGGTGATTGGCCAGTTGATAAGACTATTGGTCAGAGGACGAAAAGGAACCGAAAAGCTGAAAAAGCTTCTTCATCTGTACAAAATGACAAAAAGTATAATCGCCCTCAGACATGCAGAGTATTAGATAATAGTGTATCTGTGAATACTGAGTCTGTCCAGCAGCAAGGATCTTCACGTGAAAGTGAAGAAGACGGCAGGAAGTCACAGTGTGATGATCCTTCAGAATTTCCCAGTAGTTGTAAATATGGTACTTATAAAAATACTGAAGAAAACTCTTTTAGTATTGTCGGTGACTGGCCATGTGATTCTTTAGCTCAGAGAGAACACAGATCAAGAATGCCAAAGGTTGATATAAGAAAGCCCAACCTAGAATTTGGAACTAATAATATAAATGAAATATCCTTATACACAGCACATGAGGCCTGTTGGGGCACAAGCCCCGAAGAACTAAAAATGTTGAGTAGCTCCACCCTCCAAAGTTCTGAGATGCTGCCCAGTGAAATGAGCAATGAGAATCAAACTTACTTAAGTGAACAGATTCCTAGGCAACACACATTGTCTCCTCCTTTTACCAGCAGTGTCGCAACTGCTTTAGCTGAATTTCCAGGGGGAATGTCTAAAAGAGTCCCTGAAATAGAAGTAGGCACATGTACCCAGACGGAACCACAGGATTTTGCCCTCTTATGGAAAATAGAAAAGAAGAAAATTAGGGTTTCAGATTCTATCAAAATGTTGACAGGAAGATTAGATGGATTTAAACCGAAAGCTTTCAGTAATAACACAAAAGCAAATGTTCAGCAAACAATTCCATATAGGGTAATGTATGATAAAAGCACATATGTTGAGGAAGATGAGCTTACCAGTGTTGATGAATCTGAAAATCTTAATATCCTTTGTAAACTATTTGGGTCCTTTTCATTAGAAGCCCTGAAAGACTTATATGAGAGATGCAATAAAGATATTATTTGGACTACAAGCCTTCTGTTGGATTCTGAAACTAAATTATGTGAGGATACAGAATTTGAGAATTTTCATAAACTATGTGATGAACCACAAGTTGGACTATTTTCTCTGGGATTGGATTTGAAGGAGGTTATTAGCCAAAAAAGAAACTTAGATGATTCTAATTCTTCTGTGCCAGAGTTTCATAGAATTGACACCAACAATAATAATGCACAGCCTATTTGTGATGCAGAAAAGGGAAACTCAGAGCAGACAGAAATACAAGGTATAACTTTTGAAAACCCTGGAATAATAAGTGTATTTCCTAATGCTGCTATAGATGTAAAGAGTAATAATGAAATACTTCCTAACCATCAGGCAGAATTTTCAGACTTATGTAGCTTTAGGCAGTCTCTTCCAACTGTTCTAAAATTTCCTAATGATGTAAGTGAAATGGAGAATAGTCTAGTAGCCGCAGAGACTGGAGATGGTATGCATTCATCTTTAAATTTGTCTGATATTCTAAACTCTGTAGCAAGCACTTCAGATCTTGGGTTAAATGAAGTTAATTTTACTGAGACTATGGAAATAAAGAAATATGGAAATCTTCCAAAAGATTATGAGAAATTTGCAAATACAGAAGAATTTATAAATGAAGATGAACAGGAAATGGAGAAAATTCTAATGGAAGAAGGTAGTTTGTCAGCTGGAGTTAGTGAAGAAGATAAAACTGAAATATTGAGTCCCACACCAGTGATGGCCAAATCTTTGACCATAGACTGTCTGGAATTGGCATTACCCCCTGAACTGGCTTTTCAACTTAATGAATTATTTGGTCCAGTTGGTATTGATTCAGGTAAGGAAAAAGTAAATTAATTACATGTGTGTCTTTGTGTGAATAGAATGCAAAAGTTTCAGTTATGAAATGATTTCATGTTAACTGAAATGTAAAAGTAATTTGTATTGCCTGACTTCACATAATACTTTGACACAGTTTGTTTCTAGAATATTTTTAAAAAAATGTAATTGAAGTAGAGACTACTGTATGTTGAGTTTTTAATCCATCCCATGTATATATTTAAAGCTTACCTGGGCCAGGGATTTAGCTCAGTGGTTCCGCTGCCTGCCTTGTAAGCGCAAGTTCCCGAGTTCGATCCCCCGTACCAAAAAAAATAAAAATAAAAAAAGGCTTACTTGTACAGTTACTTGTACAGATGAACTCTTTGTGTCTTCTGTTGCAAGCATTAATTCTTGCTGGGTAGAGTCATGCACAGTTGTAATTAATCTCAGCTACTTGGAAGGCTGAGACAGGAGAATTGCAAGTTTGAGGCTACCCTGAACAATTTAGTGAGATGTCTCAAAATAAAATTTCTTTCTTTTTTTTTTTGTACTGGGGATCGAACTCGGGACCTTGTGCTTGCAAGGCAGGCACTGGATCCACTGAGCTAAATCCCTGTCCCTCAAAATAAAATTTAAAAAGGGCTATGGCTGTGACTTAGTGTGGTAGAGCCCTTGCCTAGCATGCATCAAGCCATGAGTTTGATCCCTAGAACTGGGGGAAAAAAATTCTTAGAACAGCCTAATCGAAAGGTCTCAACTACTGCAAATGAATAAGTTAAACATAGTTAGATTAAGAAATGAATAACTTAGATTTATTACGAAGTTTTGTATAATTATACCAGTAAAGAAGTGTGAAAATAATGGCATATAACATAAAAATATTCCAGGAGATGTAGTAAATAGAAACATAAACCAGTAATTAATAATGCAAAATAGTTGTGCATTTGGTTTTCTGCCAATATATAATGAGTAATGATTATACTTTCTTTTCTTTTTCTTCCCTTCACAAGAGTCTCTAACAGCTGACGATTGTATGGTTCATATAGATCTGAATCTGGCTAAAGTGATTCATGAGAAATGGAAAGAATCTGTAATGGTAGGCTTCTTTTTTATGAAGAGCTCCTTTTATGTCTATTTCATCACCATTGTTTTTCGGTAAAATCCACTGTGTTATATGAACGAGTTCTACTGCATTTTGACTTTGAAAGAGACTGAAGTTTTACCAGTTATGAGTTTACTAGTCAGCTCTGGTGGCACATGTCTGTAATGCCAGTACTCAGGAGGCTGAGACAGGGGGATCTCCATGAGTTTGAGGCCAGCCTGGGCTATAAAGTCTGTTCAAGGCCAGCCTGAACTACATGGAGAGATCCTGTCTCAGAAATTGCCCTCCCCTCAAAAAAAAGTTTACTAATTTTTCTTTCTTCAGTATTTGAAATATTTCCAGACTGAATAAATTATATAATTTGCAGTGGAGCTCGTGGTTATTTTTTTTTAACCAAAAAAAAAAGAAATCCTAAACAGTGAATTTTTCACTATTAAAAGATTACAGTGCAGCTTAGCATGATGGTGTACTCCTATAATCCCAGCATTTGGGAGGCTGAGGCAGGAGGATCACTGGCAGTTTGAGGCCACCCTGGGTTACATAGTTCAAGGGCATCCTGGACTATGTAGTGAGATCCTCTTCTCAAAAAAAAAATCATAGTGTTCATTAATTAAATTTTATTTTATTTTGGTACCGGGGATTGAACTTGGGACCTTGTACTTTCAAGGCAGGCACTGTACCACTGAGCTAAATCCCTGGCCCCATTAATTAAATTCTAAAAACAAGTTTTAAAAAAAATGCATCATAAAACATCTTCATAAGCAGAAAAAAATATATAAATGTAGTTATAATTTCATTTGTCTAGCTTTATTTTACTTAGATTTAGTAAGAGCTATTTACAGTTATATAAGAAGAAATGATTTCTAGAAAAAAATAATATAACCTATAACCTTATTTACTGATGCGCCCTCCTTTGTCCATCCCTTGTTCTTTGTGTTCAGGAGCGACAGAGACAAGCGGAGGTGTCCTGTGGCAAGTGTATGCAAGGTAAAGCACATAATTTTACTTCTGATGTTCTTACCTTGATGTTGATACTTGGCATGTGTTTTAACTCATTCTAAATATACTTCCACAACATATGTTATTCATGAATTTTGATAGGCAAATTAAAATTCTTTAGAAATAATTGAATTCTAATATAAAGCAAAAACTTAAAGTTGGTAAAAAAACTATCATATATTTATTTAATCATCATGAGTGCTTTGGAACACCAAAAGTGTGCTGTCTGATACATACACACAATCAAAATGTTTCCTGTTTTTTTTTTTTTTTTTTTTGTGGTACTGGGGATCGAACTCAAGACCTTGCGCTTGCAAGACAGGTGCGGTGCCACTGAGCTAAGTCCCCGGCCCTAAATTTTTTTTTTTTTTTTGGTATGGTACTGGGGATCGAACTCTGGACCTTGCACTTGTGAGGCAGGCGGCGGCACCACTGAGCTTAAGGATTTGCTCTGTATGAAAGAAAACTTGTGAGTTGAAAGAAACAGTGTTCAAATGTTTGAGAGCATTTTTGAATTATTACTGTGCTATTCAAAATTTTTATTGATGTCAATATGAGGGCATAAAAGCAGCCTGCTGTTTTGGTCCATCCTGCCAACTTGAAAATACAAGATGACTTTTAGACACTGTTGTCTTCAGTGAGAAGCATTGATGAGGGTCTTTTTTTGAGGGGAGTGGTTTGAGACAGGGTCTCCTACGTAGTTCAGGCTGGCCTAGAATTCGCTATGTAGCCCAGGCTGGCCTCAAACTGATGGAGATTCTCCTGCCTCAGCCTCCTGAGTGCTGGGATTACAGGTGTGCACCACCACACCCAGCTGAGGCTCTGTCTCTTGCATATGAGTTCCACCAAGTGTCTCTTTTGTCCACTGCCCACTTTGACCACAGCAGCAGAGCTCCAGGTGGAAGATCGCTCAAGTCTACTTTCAGACTTGTCTGAAAGCTGTCTGAGGGCTTGCGGTAACCAGAGTGTTATTATGGTTGTGTAAATGTGTGTGCTGTTTCTTCATTCCCCAGGAAACAAGAAATATATCAAAGTGTGTCTGTATTTCCTTATGATGATGAAATGTTACACATTCAGTTCTTTTATAATTTCTTGTATTTTTTGTTTTGGTAACTTCTTAAAACGTTTAGTTCCGTATTTTAAATATCATTTGCTCAGTGTTTATTGTGTTTCCAGTGAGTTATAGATTTGCCAAAACACTGATACTCTCAGTTCTTCAGTTGGCTGGGCAGAGCCTTTCCAGTTCCTCATTTCTACTTAGCTGTAATGTCTTTTGTTTACCAGTGTCTTAAATGTATGTCACTGTTTTTGTGTCAGTGTGATATGAAAAAGAATGGGAAGAACTGAATTAATTTACAGTTATACACAGATCATTGATCATTTAAAACATTCCTACATTTTCCCATATACTTTCTTGTTTGCAATTATGTGAAAATGTATTTTGAAATTTCAGAGTTGTGTTATATTTACAAATCGAAAAGCTAAAAGCTATGTTTTCTTGGTTTCTTTGAGGTAGATGTAAAAATGAGTAATTATTTAATTTGCATACTAATTGTTGAAGGCATGACATTATTTATATTGCTCTTGTAGATCCTTCCTTGGTTGGAAATACTGGTCTTGATAACCCTGAACAAAAATCATCTCAGAGAACAGGTAGAAAATTACTGAAGACTTTAGCAGCACCTGAAATGCTGCCCTTCTTGGATCATTGGAATACTCAAACTAAAAAAGTATCACTCAGAGAAATAATGTCAGAAGAAATTGCCTTACAGGAAAAGCATGATTTGGTAAGAGTTAGTACAAATATTAAGCTGTTGTCTTTGACTCTAGTTTGACTCAATTGTATTTGCTTATTTTACGATATTCATTCTGTGTTTTCTAGTCTAGAGTCTATATTTAACCTGGTTGAAGTTAATGTTACAATTGAGATTTTTTAATTTGGAGACTGAGTCTTGCTATGTAGTTCAGCTTAGACTTGAACTCACTATGTAGCCCAGGCTGGCCTCGAACTCACGGCAGGGTGCGTCAGCTTCCTGAGTGCTGGGATTGCAGGCATATGCAACCACACCCATCTGAACAATGTTTTAGGTGTAATCTGAAGTTAGAGGTTTTTGCTTTTAGGTAGTTGATATTCTAATAATAGTCCTTCAAATGTTATATTTGTGTTGTCTTAGATTTAATTTTGTAGGTGATTTATATGCATCTTACTTAGCTTTTAATATTTACCTCTAATCTGTTTTTTTTTTTTTTTTTTGAGACAGAGTCTTGCTGTGTAGCCCAGGCTGGCCTCAAACTTGAGGTGATCCTCCCACCTCAGCCTCCTTAGTGCTGGGATTATAGGCATGTGCCACCATGCCCAGCTACCTCCAATTCTTTAATGTTTGAAAAACATGAAAGAAATCTTTCATTTAAAGATAAATTCATAATAAATTAGTTATAAGAATTGTCCATCTGGCTATTAAATGTGTCCATCTTTGAAACAAGATTTTAGAGAATTTCAGAAAATTAATGGAGATTTAAAAACCATTCTTTTTCTAACTTTTCAATTAAATAAGTTAAAATGGAAACTTCACTTTGAACTTTATTTTTATTCCTTATTTTGACATTCTAATTATATGAAGCCATGAGTGAATTTGGTTTCTTTTGCATTTTTTCTTATTTTTTTTTAATTTCTGAAAATTAGTATTCAAAAATTTCAAAATCAAAATGGAAAAGACCTTAGAAGTTATTTAGTTCACTTCTCAAGGAACAAAAGCAATTCTTAGATAATGATCTTAAAACAGTTTTGCACTCTTTCTTACTCATTTGACTGCTCAATCACTTTTGTATTTGGTTGTAATACATAGAATTGGGGTATAGGAAGAATGATGGGAGTCCTCATTTTTTCTAGTTGTCTTGTTAATTAATTTGGTAATATGCTAATATTCTCATCTTTGCACCCTTACATAGTCAAGGAACAATCTCCTCAAGTAGTAGTGTCTTCTAATTTAAGTGTTGTTTCAAATATCTCCCTTAATCTATATGTATAATAAACTGGAAAAAAAGATTGTCTTAAAAAAGTAAGGAAAGCCTAACACTTCTGCCTAAATGGTTAACTACTTTTTGCTGTAATTCCCTTTTCCACTATAAATTTACCTTTACAGTCCCAACCTGCCTTTTAATCTCTCATTGTAATGAGCAAATAAACATCTTTTGACTTCACAACTTAATGCACTTTTTTCTGAGTGAATTTGCTAACAGATACTGGACAACTTAGTCTCAAGGAGACTTTAGATAGATCTCAGTAGAATTTCTTGATATTTTCTCTTTACTCTTTGTCTCCAGAGGAGAAATACATTGTATGTATTTTAAAATCAAAGAAAACAAACTTTATGTATGATAAATGCATAGAATAATTTTTTTTTTTTGTACCTGTGATCAAACTGAGGACCTTGCACTTGCGAGGCAGGTGGCGGAACCACTGATCTAAATCCCTAGCTTATGCATAGAATAATTTAAGATGACTGTGGACAGGAGTTTTCACTTCATTGATGAGATGTTAGAATTTATATTTGAGAAACTCTTATGACCTGGTAGGTTGCTACAGTAAATCTGATCATTGATTTTTTAAAAATAAATTCAGATTATGATGTATATATTAAATAAAATGTGAAATACTTTAAATTCTTGAGGTGGCCTGTTTCCATCACCTTTGTGATGTGTTCAGTTTTGTCAGTCCTTTTTCCTGGTCATATTTTTTTTTTTTTTTTTGGTGGTACTGGGGATTGAACTCAGGACCTTGCTCCTGCCCGCCACTGAGCTACATCCCCGGCTCTCTTCCTGGTCATATTTTCACTTACTGTCTTCCTCTTTTAATAGTTTGGTGCTATCAATGGCTTAACTATGGCTAGGCTTCAAAACAAATATGTATTTGAGGGTTATTTTGGATTACTGTAGTTTTTAAATTTAGAAAATTTCAGAGTCATCTTGGTTGTTATTTTTCAACGTTTAGAATCTTTATAGCAAACAAAAAGTATTCAGTTGCATCACAATGTGGACAATATTAGAAGCCACTTAAGTCACTTTAAGAATGTTTACTGTAATCCTAGGTTAGAATTAAAATAGTATATTGTGGGGGCCAGGGATTTAGCTCAGTGGTTTCACTGCCTGCTGCACAAGCACAAGGACCTGAGTTCAATCCCCGGTACCAAAAAAAAAAAATAGTATATTGTAGGAAAGTTCTTTTGACTTGGCAGTGTTAGGCAGGCAAATCTCAGTAGGAATTGTGAAAAATAACAATTTTTATAGTTATTTTGAGGCAGTTATGTTTGTGAAAAATAATTATGAATTCTAAGATTTTCTGTGAACCTGAATCTGCAACTTATTTGTACATTGTAGTTTCTGCCCATTGAGAATATGTTTTTGAGGACCTTGTTCACTGCATCAGACAGTGTCTCTTTTATGAAGACCCATGGGAGAAATTTCTCTCGGGTTTCAGAACCAGAAAAGCTGTACTTTTCCTGAGCAACTGGTTTCTTTTTATTTTGTGGTCTCTGAGATTCTTTGTTTCTTCCTTTGGTTTGACTACTAAGAGGCTTAGAACTAAATTTGTAGTCCACCTTTAGCAGTTGTACAGGGTTTTGTGGCATTAATTTATATACTAACTTTATTAGCTAGTTTTGCTTACCTTTATTTTACTCTAACTCCGACTTCATTTATTTATATCCTGTTTATATGTACAGGCACATATTGATTAATGACCGAGCATAGTGTTCTCAGAAGTGTGTCATTAGGCAGTTTTGTCATTGTGTGGACATCAGAGTGTACTTAGGCAAGCCTAGATAGTACAGCCTATTACATACTTAGTCTGTATGGTATAGCCACTGATGTATATGCAGTCAGCCATTGACTGAAACATCATTATGTGGTACATGACTGTATATATATCTTCATGCTTTTATAGAATATGATTGTGTATGTGTGTATAATTTATGTATACTTGTACACCCATTTGTATATGTCTGATTGTATGTATATATATGAGAAATTTCAAATACTTTGGAAAAATTAAATAGTGCAAAAATACTTAACACTACTAATTTCAGCCTTTCGTCTGAGTGCTTATAAATTATTAGCTTTTTTTGCAATAGCTATACTTTTGGTTAACTTTGTTAGTATTTTAACTTTCATCTTGAGGGTGATTTTTGTGTTTTTATTTTAGAAAAGGGAGACATTTATGTTTGAAAAAGATTGTGCCACTAAACTAAAGGAGAAGGAGCTCTTTAAAATATTTCCAGCCATTGATCGAAATTTTCTTATGGACATTTTCAAGGATCACAAGTGAGTGCTGAAGGACTGACTGTATTTTCTGTTTGGATGTCACTGAAAAGATATGCCAAATAATCTTCGATTTTTATTTTTCTGATACAAATTATATAAATAATTCAAATGCAATATACATGGTGAGCAGTTTCTGGCAATTCATGTTCCACAATTTTGAAAATATGTATACTAATGTGTGTGCATACATATGTACCTATGTGCTTTTGTGTCTGTATATGCATATGTATTTCATCAGAAGGGTCATATTGATGTGTTGATTTTATAGTTTTACTGGATTTTTTTTTTTTTTTTTGGGTACTGGGAATCAAACTCAGGACCTTGCACTTGCCAGGCAGGCGTGGTACTGCTGAGCTACATCCCCGGCCCTTGGAACTTTCTTATCTATACATAATGACTTGCTCATTTTGAAGTCTACAGAGTGTTCCATATTAAAGAGTGCCATAGTTTACTTAAATGTGTCTCTAATTTTTTATAAAAAAAACCATATTATAGTGAGCATCCCTAGATCCATATCCTTGTATACATGGGTGACTGCTGTTGCAGGATAGTCCCTAAAAGTGAGATTGTTGGCTTATATGTTGAAAACTTTTGTTAACACCAAACTTCCTTTAATAAAGGCTGTACAGAGCTGGGGATTTAGCTCAGTGGTTTTGCCACCTGCTGCGCAAGCACAAGGACCTGAGTTTGATCCAAAAAATAATAAAAATAAATAGGTAAAGGGTGTAAATTAATATACTTACATGCACTAAAGAGTGTAACCTTCCTGGATATTAGGAATTAAAAATTTTTTGTCCACCTGATAGGAAAAATGATATATTACTTTCTAAACTTTTATTTTCCTGGTTGCTAGCAAGGTGGCTCTTTAAAAAATTTTTTTTCCTACCAATTATCACTTACATTTGCCTATTTTTCTGTTGGTTCTTTCTCTTTTTAGTCTTTCACGCTCTTTATATATTATGTATAGTAATTTTTGTGTGTTAAGATAGGTTACAATTAATTTTCCTGCTATGATACTATCTCTTATCTGGGAATAGTCTCTTTGGGCATAGATATCTTTTTTTTTTTTTTTTTTTGGTACTGGGGATCGAACTTGGGACCTTGTGGTTGCAAGACAGGTGTCAGAACCACTGAGCTAAATTCCCAGCCTTTGGACATAGATATCTTTTAATTCATATGTTGTAGCACCAAATCTTTTCCTTTATTATTTTTGTCTTATTTAGAAGTCTTTATAAAAATATAAATCTTTACTATTTTTAGTAGCTAAATATGTTTTTCTCTGCCTAGCATTTTTATGTGTGTGGTATGAAGTAGAGATTTATAAATGAGGTGGAAATTTTCCAAATAATTAACTGAATGAATGGGTCATCTTTATGCATTCATGTAAAATATAATCACCTTTTTGTTAGATCCTGAGTTGTTGCTACCGTATTTAAAAAAAATTATTATAGTGTATAGTGCATCTTGATGTTTATTAGGAATGATTCTATATAGTTTGACTAATGCATACTTTTTGATCATATATTTTTTCTTAACATGCTGGTTTAGCAAGAATTAAAGATACTCCATGGAATCTTTTGAAAGTCCAATATGTGTTTTGATCTTTATTAATATTGTATCAATCACAATAATAGATTCTGGAATAAAACCTACTTTATCTTCAGACTTTTTCTTTAATGATTTATAGTAATTGATTTACTAATTCATAGAATTTTTGTACCAGTAATTAAATGAAAATGCTTTGTAATTTTTCTGTTCTTTGCTATTTTTGTCAGATTTTGGTTTCAGGGTTTTATTTGGTGTCAGATAATACTGCCATTTTTCTGTCTGCAATGGAAAGTTTACTAAGTTGATAATTTGAAGGTCTAGGGTTGTATATA